CCCACCTACCCGCCTCAACACCTCCCTCACACCCTCCTCATGGTCGCTGCCTCTCATAATACACCCCTTCTTTACCCCAGTATTTACACACTCACTCGTAATCCTCTAACACTCTTTGTTTCCCTAAAGTTAACATCGTATTAGTAGTTAGTATATTTATTGTGGCACAACAGACCCTAACTGCCGGTGAGAACGAGGCAAAGTGACCATTATGGACCCGTAAGTGACACTCAGTGGCTTAGCACAGTCTTCCCACACACGCCCCAACACCCAGTGGGACAGGTGGTCCTTGGGTCGTCTAGGACAGTGTTTCCTCAACCGCAGATCTATGGACTAAATATTACAAGGGTTGCATGGAACTAATATACTGTATGGTATTCTAACAAAATATGAACCCGTTATGAGTGTGTTGAACCCAATGTCTGCTGTTGTTATATACACGCAGTTTTAACTGAGATTAACAGTGCATATATTATATATATATACAGAACAAAATTACATTAATAAACATAAAAGACAAGGCACCAAAATGCCACAACAAAACAAAATTATACACAACATATATTACAAGGAACAATACACTAACCCATCTCATGGAAACTACGAATAACATCAAACCTACAACAGGTTAGGTTAGGTAGGGTTGGTTAGGTTCGGTCATATATCTACGTTAGTTTTAACTCAAATTTAAAAAAAATTAACTCGTACATAATGAAATGGATAGCTTTCATCTGTGTCTCCCTGTCTGTGCATCTGTGTCTCCCTGTCTGTGTTACACACTTTCCACTTTGTTTTGGGTTGAATTTGTTTAACTGGATCTCTGTCGAGTCCAGGTGCTTTGGTATCCAGGAATGGTTCTTTCTTTGCATTAAAACAGAGCTCGGCGTGAATGAATGCGTGCGTGCGTACGCACGCATGACCAAATCTCCATTATTGTTTAAAAAGAGAGAGAGTTACAAATGTATAGATAAAATAAATGGAACCTATTCGAATCACCATTTTTTTTAACCATCAGTATAAAATATTTTCTCCTTTTTCCCTCCCAAAAAACTGACACAATTCAGTTTTTTTCAGCAAAACAAAATATATATGACGGATTGGAGAAGAATATTTTTTTTATTATTATTATTTTCTACCACAGACGTGGCCACACATTTACAATGCTAACCAGAATATATACATTTTCTTCTGAGGACAAGGTGAGAGATTTGTCAAACATATAGTTCTGGGTTGTTCTTTATTGAACAATCAACCACAGAAGGTGATTGTAGTGCTTTTAAAATGCTAGGCTAAGCTACATACTTAAATACATAGATACACAAATTTATGTATGCTACATAAAGTGTTCGATGTGTCTTTTACATAGTGTCATTAATGTGCATTTAAGAAAAATCATTGCCAGAGGCGGACTCACACAGGTTGCAAAAAGCCTATCTCTCACACAGGTTCAGAAAGCCTATCGCTCACACAGGTTAAGAAAGCCTATCTTTCACACATGGAAAACGGGAGTAATCTTTAGCAATCGGCAAAAACACTTTACTCCTGAACAGTCTATAACTAAAATCGACTATAACTTTCAAGACATACCATACCTGGAGCTTTCCTGGAGAGGATTTCGGGAGTTCTTCTAGTTCAAGTACGTTTATTGAGACAAGAAAAAAAATACATCTCAAAGGGATAGAGTAGCTTAGGCTATTTCTAACCCCCCCCCCCTACTGTTCTGTTTTATTGATTTAGGCCACCTCCAGCGCCCTCACCCGACCAGTGAAAATCACAGTAGCACTAAGAAAAATAGATCGTATAATTCCATTAATATGGGGTTTAACCACTGCAAATTACCTCAAGCCTATTATCATTCAGCAAAAATCTGCTATCAGAACTATAACAAACTCTGTCTTCAGACAACACACAACAAACGACTGCCCGAAACGCAATGCGTGTTATTGGCTTTGTAAGAATGTAAAAATACCAATATTATGTCATCTCGCAAACCCATTGTACTTTCTTGTAAATAGATTGCTAAATTCCGTAACTTAAATACATATATATATATATTACCGGCGATGTGAACGGTGAATAAAGTATACTCGCCCCCCTTTGAAATTATGTGCGTATGAAATTGATTAGTAAATCAGTTTTGTAGATTATAAAACCATGACTTTATTAGGGTTGGACGGCAGAGCGACGATCTCCCTTCATACAGGTCGGCGTTCAATAAAGTAGTGTCCGGTTTAACTGTTTAACGTAATGTCCGGTTTAACGTAGTGTCCGGTTTAACGTTGTGTCCACTGACTTGTGTGTTATGTGATAATCTGTGTCTTATCCTTTAACCCTTTTCGTGTCCAGTTATAGTTCAACGTGTTCAATCCAGTGAGTTCAACGGCAGTTCACTGAATACAATGGGAATTCAATGTGACCAACGGAAACCAGCTTTGTCCATCTATAATCTGCTTGTTTCATGTATGATAATCAGATGAGTTTATAAATATTCCGCCATTTCCGTCAGTTATCCGCCATTACCGTCAGTTATCCCACCATTACCGTCTATAGTCGTCATTATCATCGGTAATTCTCGCTCTTACCTTCGGTAATCCACTTTTTCTATCGATAATCTCTCCTAGTTAATCTGTTTTGTTGAAAATCCGCTGAATCGCATAGTAATCCAATATGAACAGGTAATTCAGCCAGTCCATGATAATCGATTGTGTTCTGAGCCATTCTTCTTCAGCCAAAAATTCATTGAATAATAACAACCCAATAAGGTAGCAAATTGAGTCCAGCAGCTGGGGAGGGGGTGTTAGTGGGGTGTGTATAGCAGGGGGTGTCAGTGGGGTGCATATGCTCCACCTGCGGCCGGCCCGGCGTCCGACCCCGCACCAGGACCTCAACCAATCCGGTAACAGGGACGCCATCCACCCTGGCTACCCCTGCCAACGAAGACGCCACATCCAAAGACGACAACGGATCACCCGAAACTCCCACAACCGACACCAGGAGGCTCTCCAGAGCCGCCACCGACGTCGACGAGAACGGCCTTGCGACCGACGACGAAGACGAGGACGACGTAAACAAAAGTACTTGCCATATGCTGTTCATCCGCCCAGCGGAATGGCAACGCACACACCAGACGAAAATTGGCCCACAGATGTAACAAAATAACCAGAACAAATACCCGCACCCCATGTATGTCCACGCCCACGCCATGAACTCTTACACTGATCTCACAATACTAAAAAAAGAATACCGCGACCCAGAATTCCACCGCAAATTCCCGGACGGACAAATGCAATTCCTCGAAAAGGAGGACGATCCTGATGGTACCAAACTACCAACGTTGTTTTGTTCAGATATAAAGCGTCGCTTTACACATTAAACTGCATCCTGGCGACTAGGCGTCCTGCGGGCCATAAACTGCGAGCGACCATGAAGATCGCATCCATCCACAGATCTCCAGTAACAGCTATTGATACTGGCAATGGCTCCAAATGGCCTCCATTTACGGGCTATTCATGCCCGTGCCACCTTTTGGGGGACTTAGTCAATCAGAATGCATATAACAGGGGTTGTTAGTGGAGTGCGTATAGCAGGGGGGTCAGTGGAGTGCGTATAACAGGGGGAAGCGGGTCGGGGAGTGCGTATATAAATTTAAATGTCTATCCAAAGTTGGAAGCCAGATGCTTAGGGCGAGTCTCACCCAATTTTTAACAATATTTGCTGTTGGGTGCGTGACCAGTACTCTCAAATAGTGCATCGCATTTGTTACCTATACATCCGAAATGGCAAAAATATGAACTATAAATCAGAGCATGTCGCAAAATGTACCGCCATCATGCTGTCACGGTGGGAGCCGGACTCCGGTCATATGAATTACTAAAATCTTGATGCTATCTCTGAATTCTTTTTTCCGTGCACCACTTGCTATCGCTTCTCAGTAATCCCATGAATTTCTGACCAGTGTGGCCAGCTCGACACGACTGCTCTGCTCCAATAACAGCAGCGGGATTCTTTCTTTCGTGTCGTTTTAGAGCGAAATCAATCACAGCAATACTGGGACATAAGCAATGACTCAACTTACGACAACACGAATTGATAATCGATATCAATGCTGTATATACATGATTATTAAAAGTAACTGATACATTAGGCTTTCCAAGCGTGGAGGCTCGGGGCTTCAGGTTCCACTCTTAGGCAGACTACTGGAAGGTAAGGGCGGCTCCTGAGCACCTTCCCGAGAGGTGGTGGTAGGTGATACACACGCGTGCCTTGTGTACTAATAGTAAGGAGAGAGGCGTAATAAGGAGAGAGACGCGCTCGCCAGCAAAACAACTCGACCCAAACCAAGCACTCTAAGCCAGTGTATTTATGGGTGTGTGTGTGTGTGTGTGTGTTGAAGAATTATACAGTCTGGACGCTGTATAATTATACATATGTATATACTGGGCGCTAAAGATGTTAAAACCCCAAAACAAAGAGATGAGGCTTGGATGCCTCAAAAGGGAGACGACAAGGACACACACCTCTGTAAGAATGCGTGTTACCACGTCCAGGTATGAGAACTGCTCAAGGTCAGACTCAATCAATCTGTTTACTTAGCTCTGGAAACGTTGTAGAACGATAAACTTCCAGCGGAACTTCTTCGAGGAAATCCGGACTGTGTGAAAGGCCATCTTTGCTTCGGGAGTCGGTGCTGGGCTGTTTATGAAAGTGTACGCTATGAAATGACCTCTGACCCAAAGGTTATCTTTTTGAGATATCTTTCTCGTAGTTCAACATAGAATCTAATGTCACCTTCAAGAGAAGCTATGAATCCTAGTAATTCACATTTTAATTCCAGAAGTCGATGTTTTCCAGCAGAACATTAGATAATATTTAATGAACTATTTGCTGTTTAAATTATCTGTTGTACGCTTTAATAACATTAATTCGTTAATTAACAATAAGCAAAAATCTCTTTTAAACACTAAATTAACAACAATTTGAGATAACACTTTGGCGAAAGGATTAGAAAATGACATTTGCCCTCTATGTACTCCTGAGTAACTTGTGTATGCCTGAAGGTGTTTTAACACAGGATGAAACTGGAGGTCCTCGTCAAGACGGTGTCCTACACGGTAAACACCACCACACTCCTCAGGAGCAGGTGGTGGTCAACGTTACTCCTGCTGGGGACCTTCCTCCTGCTCCCAGGTAAGCTCAAAACACGTCACATTAGCCAGGTTGCTGATTTTAAGAACTATAATAGCTCCTTTCACGTTCCCCTATCCACTTCGCCCCCTTCCCTTCATCCGCCACCTCCCAATTCCAGGAGGGACAAGCATCCAGGTGCTGGAGTTCCAGAAGGATGGAGTGGCGAGTCTGTCAACGATGGCGGTGTACAGAGGCAAGTTGGACCGGGCCTGGAGGATGGCCTCCCTGAGCCTCTGCTGCCGCTTCAAGCTCTTCTTCCTACACACCAGAGCCACCTTCTTCCAGCTGTGGGACAAGGTCGACAACTGGGACTCCCAGATCAAAGGAGGTCAGTGTCTGGGGGGGAACAGTAGGTCGTGCAAGGCGGAGGAAACAAGGCGTCGTGAGAAGTCGAGGGTGATGTGAGAAGATAAAGAGGGGAAGGAATTATCAGGGGAAAGCGTCAAGCCATTACGACTATATAGCACTGGAAAGGGGGTCAGGATAATGATTTGGGATGGGACGGTGGGAAAGGAATGGTGCCCAACCACTTGTGGACAGTCGGTGACTGAACTCCGATCTGAATGAAGCGAGACCGTAGCGCTACCGTCCAGCCCAAGTAGTTAGGCACCATTCCTTTCCCTAAAGGAGGAGCTAAACGAAAAAGAAAATAATATAAATAAGAAAATGGCGTTATGAAATAAAAAAAAAAGGCAGAGATTGAATGGAAACAAATAGGAAACATAGCAACACATTTTCATAACAAAAAAATTGGTGGAACAGTCAACACGCACAAGGGCTGTGTGGCCAGGCATTAAACCGACCCAGTATAACAGACCTTAGTTACTGAACTGGAAATGTCCATTTGAATCACAGTTCTCCAGAATCCTGGTATAGTAGAGATTTAGACACAGTAATTACTGCTTAACAGAGTTGTGGCTGAACCGGTTCCGGCCTGTCGTCGCCCACCGCTGGCAGTTCCAGATTCTCAAGGACAAACTCAGGACCTTCAAGTGAGTACCCACCTTCCTAAGCGTACCCCATACTCACCATCTAGCGATTAGCCTCCACCAGAACATTATACCAGTGAGTAACCACCCACATACCCCATCTTTCCAGCGAGTACTCAATGGCGAGTTATCTAATTCCTCCCCCCCCATCTTCCGGAAGGTACTAACCTTCCCATTATAGGGTGTTCTACCCATACTCCCATATAGGTAGGTCAACCTACTCAGGCTTTGTGCCCTGGAGAGGCCATTCCAGACCGACAACCAGAGCGCAACTCCATAGTCTCCTGAGGCTGATGGATGCCTGCTGCTACCTATACTGGGGTGAGAACCTGTCCACTTATCTCTCTATCCTTGGTTTAGTTTATTATTGTTCCTGCTAAACAACCTCACGATAAGATCGATGATAATAACATAGATATTCTTGCCGATTATTCAAGATAATTATGTTTCAGTATTAGTCCCGTCTCTTTTTATATTGTACTCTTTGTTATCATTCCTACTTCTGGGCGTTATCACCTTTCCTTCTAAGCCCTCAGAGGATACTACCTCTGAGGGCAGGGAGGTGATATCCTCTGAGGTATCCATCTTCCCTTCCCTGCCTTCAGATGGTACCACCTGTGCTTCACCTACGATCACCTGAAGTATCTCTACAACACCTTCATTGACGGTAAACTCGTCTACGAGATGACCTATAACGTTAAGCGCCAGATCTACGGCGACTACGCTCGCCTCGGCCAAAGTGTTCTATCGAAGCATAGTTTCAGCGGCGCTCTGTCACAGGTGAGAGCTCCAGCGGCGCTCTCCTGCAGGTTAGCCTCATCAACAACGCTCTGTCATAGATAAAGAGCTCCAAATAAGGCACTATCACGGGTATAGTTTTTTAATCAACATATATTTTGCGCTTGTGTTAATAATGATGATCTGGTAACATCCTTCGACATTAACTCAGTCATAGTACTCCACTTCTTACATTTGGCTCTCAATTGTCTTTTGTTTACTCTCAGGTTAATGTGTGGGACTCTGTACTGAGCGCCGACGTCATAACTGACATGGCTGCTTGCAAGACCGACCCTCTGGGTAACTATGTATCCTGGGAGGCCGGCTGGGACCTATATAATGTCACAGAGTACAACACATCTCTCGAATCCTTTTGCAAACAAACTATGGACACGTTTTACTTCGGGTTTCCCAGGCTCTCAAAAGCTCAAGCATTCTACCAATGCGAAGCTCTGGGCACACATCTGCCTCTTTCCACCAACATGGACGAGTTGCTCCTTTTGTTCAATGTCTCGGTTCAGTTGTGGTCTGGCTACAAAGATTTGTGTATAACCAATTTCTGGGCCTCAATCATCGACGTGGAGAGAGAAGGCACTTGGGTTACCCACTACGATAACGTCCTCGCTCCACTCGCGCTCTGGAATGACGGTGAACCCAACGGAAACTTTTATGAGAACTGCGCAAAAATTGAGCACTGGGGCCTGTCTGATGTCGACTGTCTTACCGATTTGTTATGCGTTATTTGTGAATTTACCGACCTGCCAATCTTGTCCCTGTTGGGTACCTGTGAGCTGGAAGAACGAAATCTCCACTTCATCGCCTACCAGGAAGGTCTGGGTGATCTTTATTTCAAGGGATATGGAGCGTACCACATCAAGAAGGTGGAGGGAGAATGGTTGTGGATCAACGTGGTAGAGAACAAGACTCTGGCCAGACTAGACGTCGACGCGCCCTTCAACATGCCCATGGGCCGTCGGGTCTGGCACCTCGAGTCACCAGTGTGTAACCAACGAGAAGGTCCGCGGACCCTGGTGCTCACGCCTTGCGGACCGGACAGTTACTCTTGCGATGACGCCACCTGCATCCCTCACCAGAATCGATGCGACTTAAAGTACGACTGTCTGGACCACAGTGACGAGGCCGAGTGCCAGCTCGTCTCTCAGCCTGATGACTACAGGAAGGACCTGCCACCTCGGCAGGGCAATGGCGTGAATGCCTCCAGCCTACCAATAACATTACACGTTAATGTCGAGTCTGCCGCAGTTGACACGACACTGATGACCATGCAGCTGTCATACAAAATCATCAAGATTTGGATCGACGACCGTCTTAATTACCGCAACTTAAAGATCAACGACAGTCTAAATAAGGTGGACTACACGAGTATGATGAGCCTCTGGTCGCCCATCATCGCCTTCGTCAACACGGAGGGCCATCAACACACAGTGGTCGACATAGAGTCGTCACTCTACCTGAAGCGCCAGCAGCCCCCAGACCGCAGCGACAACAGCGCCCCCGGCGAAGGTGACAACTCGTACACTGTGTTCTGTATCACAGTGAAATGTAGATTATCCTTGCAGTGTTAATATTATACTTAGTTATACATGATCTCACACCCCTATGAAGTACGACTTTAGTATATATAATGTGAAATACAATAAAGAGAAGTGTAGATGAAATATCAGTCTTTGGTTTTATATTATATTACAGGTACGAATAATGAGCTCTGATTACCCACTGGATGTTGGTTATTGGCTTACATCAAACTTTATCTTTTTATTCCTAATTTCTGTATTATTTCTAGCTCAAAGTCACAGTATGTTATAAATCAAGATTAATACTTCCCGAATAACATTATAAATGCACTTGATTCGTGAAATCTTTTTTGGGATTGCCTATTCAAAATATTGGCTGTGGAGAGAAAAATCTTGATATTGTGCTAACATAGTTGGCCTGTGTTGGGCAGTGGACCTGTTTCCGGGCAAAAGGAACCCTCTCCTCCTCTCCAGGAAGTACAGCACCACCTTCATCTGTGACTTCGACCTCATGCTGTACCCGTTTGATGTCCAATTCTGCGACATGCGCCTCCAAATGCTCTCCGGCTCCAAAGACTTCCTTAATTTCGAAGAGACGAACTCCTCCGCCGCTTACTACGGCAGTGCTGTGCTATTGGAGTACCAGGTCAGTGGCCGAACACTATCAGCGTAAGAGTTAAGGACACTACAGGAAGGCCTATTGGCCCATATGAGACAGCTCCTATTTATATCCACCCAAACTCATTCATTCTAGAATTATATGTAGGTCTAGTGTACGCAAATGCTGGGGAGACATCTGCTGGAGATACCCTTTTCTTTACATATCTTTCATGACTATAGAATTAGATATATGTACTGATTCTCCTGAAACCACATAAGCTCCTCAGGTCGTCTGTCTCTTACTCTTTTTCACCTTTATCTCACTTCACTGAACGCAATCACTCATTATGTCACTAATGAATTTTTGAAAGTTTTTCGTCTCCCTGTGTGTGTAGGTCCAGCAGCCGAAGCTCGTCTATGAGCACAGCGGGGAGTTCAGTGTGATGAAGGTTCGGTTATGGCTCCAGCGACGCTCGGGCTACGCTATCCTCAACATCTACATGCCCTCCATCATCATCCTGGCCATCTGCTACCTCACACTCTTCCTCCGTCCCCACGCTCTCGATGTTCGACTCATGACAACGCTGACCTCTCTCCTCGTCTTGGCCACACTCTTTACCCAGGTAAGAGGGAGAGGGGGCCCAGGCAAGAGTTTAGGGAAAACCTTTTTCACGTTTGTACTATATCGAATCTCTGACCATCAGGTCTCGTCGTCCCTGCCCAAGACGTCGTACTTCAAGATGGTGGACGTGTGGCTCCTCTTCTGCATCGTCATAAGCTTCATGATCATCATCTTCCACGTCGTCATCGACTACTCCCTAACCGAAGGCGGGGACGAGGTGTCCTCCCCCGCCATGAAGCCCGTGACCAAGGTCCAGCCCTGGACCACACACTCCCGGCAGTCTGGCAAGGTCTACGAGACCTCCGTCAGCCTCAGCAAGTACTCCAAGAACCTCATCACTTTCGCCCGATGGATGACCGTTGGCATCTTCACTCTCTTCAACTTAATCTATTGGTCGTACATCTTTGGCTAACTCCACATATTACAAATGCCAATAACTGCCAACTGAATCTAAACATCTAACCTAATCTAATTTAACCCCAATTATACACCAAATTCTAATTTACAATAACATTAATGTGTACGAAAATGCCGTTTTAGGACACAGTATATTAAAAATTTATGACAGCCTCATAAAATTTATGACGTCTTTGGGACGGGCAGCCTCGTGCACGAGCCTAGCATGCGAGTACTTCGTATCCAGAAAATTAATCTTTTTCTATAATATATACCAGCAGCATATCTGATTAATGTATTTTTCACCCATGTTAACGCAACTATTTTGTCGAAAGGATGCGAGCGTATAGAACCTTTCTAGCTTTTACAATTGATCACGTTTTGAAAAACAATTATTTTTACAATTGTTACACTGCATTAGCCTGTAACATTGTTCTTGTTTGGGGTTATGACTGTTATATGAATATGTTTTAATATGAATATGTTATATATGAATAAGTTATAACCTATTCATTGAGTTGTCCTGAGCTGCACAAGGCGTTGAGTAAAGTGCCCTGAGTTGCACAAGGCGTTGAGTAAAGTGCCCTGAGCTACACAAGGTGTTGAATAAAGTGCCCTGAGTTGCACAAGGCGTTGAGTAAAGTGTCCTGAGCTGCACAAGGCGTTGAATAAAGTGCCCTGAGCTGCACAAGGCGTTGAGTAAAGTGTCCTGAGCTGCACAAGGCGTTGAAAAAAGGGCCCTGAGCTGCACAAGGCGTTGAGTAAAGTGCCCTGAGCTACACAAGGTGTTGAATAAAGTGCCCTGAGCTGCACAAGGCGTTGAGTAAAGTGCCCCGAGTTGCACAAGGCGTTGAGTAAAGTGTCCTGAGCTGCACAAGGCGTTGAGTAATGTGCCCTGAGCTGCACAAGGCGTTGAGTAAAGTGCCCTGAGCTGCACAAGGCGTTGAGTAAAGTGCCCTGAGCTGCACAAGGCGTTGAGTAAAGTGCCCTGAGCTGCACAAGGCGTTGAGTAATGTGCCCTGAGCTGCACAAGGCGTTGAGTAAAGTTCCCTGAACTGCACAAGGCATATTTATTAAAAAATGTCCACACACGTCTCCGATTTCAACAATATCCTCCTGTCTTACCTTGCGCCCCTGAGAGCCGCGGTGAGAATAACTTCACAACAATACTTGTACCCAGAGTCATCAGGCTCTAACGTGCAGATCAGGAAAAATAACGTGTGTTAGTACATTTTATTGTCCTTTATACTGACTAGGGGTGAAGAATAACTTAAGTGGATATAAATATTGGAATGCATAAATACTGGTGTATATGTAGATGATATCCTAGTAACGTTGAGGGTAGCGAAAGCCTATAGTTTGTTGAGGCGGCGGGAGGCGTTTTCAGAATGTTAATGATCTTAACACCTATTAACCACAATAGATGAACAGAGACATTGGGTAAAAGGGAACGTGCCCAACCATTTCTGTCCCACATAGACCTGGGCGCAGCCTGGTACCCCTCAAAGTAGTATACATATTTATTACAAATTTCACCATTGTTGATAGTTTGATCAACTGTCTTTGACATGGATTATTTGCCAGAAGGAATTATCAAAACGGTGCCAAGCCGAGATTGCAAGAAGCAACATAGTGCTTATTTTTAATAAAATGCAAATTTGCATGTATGTGTAGTAAGTGGTAACTGCTGTTTAGATAGCGTTTTTTTTTTCAAGGATCACTACTATCACCCTCCTAAACCTTGCCAAAACGCTACTAGATGTTTACCTAACATCAATGAATAAGCGGTGCGCGTCGCATACGAAAATGTAAACAAAAAATAAAAAATATCCAGCTATCGCAGGCGATTCTTTTCCAAACAGGATTCACTCACTCAAGCAGCACACAACACCCGTTGCAGTTTCTTCCAACAATTTTTCGCAGCGTGTGTTTATGGCTGAAGTGAAGTAAGCTCTGTAAGAACCAACTTGGAGATATATTTTAGCAAAGTCTTACAGCTTTTGTTGCCACGGTTAGAATGTCAGAAGATGGGTGGAACAGCGACTGTTTTTAAACCTCCTTAAGAAGCATGTGTGTTTCAGCTGCAGGTACAGTGTGATGGTGGACAGAATGATGGTACGTGGAAACAGTTCTGGACGCACCACCCGTCCATGCCGGGGACCCTCTGCCACACACCCACTGCTCTACAGTCCTTAGACGGCTCCGACGGGGAAGAGACAGGCACGGGTGTGCTCGAACGAGGCCTCGATGGACGGGACTTGCCTAGACGAGGCTTCGATGGGCGAGATTTGCCCGGACGAGGCTTCGATGGATGATATTTGCCCGGACGAGGCTTTGATGGACGAGATTTGCCCGGACGAGGCTTCGATGGACGAGGTCTCCTAGTTAAGGACGGAGAGCTGGAGGGTATAGAAGTGTGTGTGGTCGGTCTCCGCGTGCTTCCGAGGGTGGGCCTGAAAGTTGTTGTAAATAAGGGCGCGAGGCTCGCCTTCGGGTACCAGCTGTAGGTATAGCCCTGACCTCCAGCGTCCGCGCCATTCTCCAAAAGGCTAGTCACCCCAACACTCGACCTGCCGTACAAAAAAATTGTTTTAAGCCTCAGCTAACCTTTGCAGCCACCCGTCTTAAGAATTATCCTACCGCTATAAAACCATACTGGCTTAACGGTTCCTCTCCATAACTACTTAATCATTTCAGTTCGTACATTGGAAAAAGATAAATACATGGAATATCTGGAGTTTACATCACATGTAGGCCGGAGCAGATGTAAATTATACACAACATTATTCGCGCGCACACAGCATTTCTGTGTACCTGGAGGCGAGCACACACGCTGTCAATACCTCACATGTTGTGCTTCATTGCCACTGCAACTTTACCTGTTGTTAATGGTTCATTACTCTTGCAACGAGTATAGGCTTTTGTATAATATTGTACACTCTGGTTAGACAATATTTGGCCTTTTATGACTAGCAGCTGCCCCTCCGCCCACGGGATGGACGTAGGGGTCTATATATAGCCAATAAGTCAACTATTTCAAAACCAATTTAGGTCTAAATTGCTTACCTTCAAGAAGATTGGGGTCTAGCTCCTGAACTGATTACGTGATTTTACCCGCCAGCAAGACGAGTACGTGTCGTATAATGAAATCAATTAACGAATGGCTCTGTGATCCACTACCAACAAGGGCTAAGTAGTTACTAACCCTGTTTGCTGGGCGGCGACGGCGACGTCAGCGCATGCGCGGAACTCTTCCTGGGGCCCGCAGCCTACTCTGGCCGAACCGTCCTCACAAGTGCCCCAGTTGTTGCCTGCTACGTACCTCCACTGTGGACACGCAGGCACTTTATTTCCCAGGCTCACACTCTCTAGCCCGTTCACACTATTTATTAAACGTTTATTTAAAGCGTACGAACCCAAATAAACCAACCCGTCCGCATAAATAAAGATCCAATGCTCGTTTATCCAGTCACCAAACCTGACGTTAGTGAATTAAAACCGCTTTACACAGGACGTGGGAGCACGTACTCGGGGTCGGTGCTCACCTGGAGTACACACTGAGTGCAGGTGAGGCCGCTGGGCAGCTGCAGGTGGAGCAGGTGTTCCCCCGTGTGGCCCGCCACCTGCTGCTGGAATCCTGAACCGTCAGCGGGGAGGAGAGGGTATCTGGAAGCAGTGCTCAGTTATGTTTATGTCATCTTAACTCTGAGCGTAGTCATCTTAACATGACTACGCTCTCGCTTCACTCTTGCTGGCATAATCCTTACATTTAACTCTTACTGGCACGATAAATCTTTAACTCACCTCCTATTGGCCTAATAACTCGCTGAACTCTTACAGGCTTATTGACCATAATGAAACTATATGGGGTTGTCCTCAGCTTGAACTAAAACTGACTATCTCAAATGAGTCTGATTCTTTACGTGTTAACACGAGTGCATTCGAAGCTATGACTCGAAACGTGCTTCATTCACTTCCTTCCCATACTGTAAACACACTTCAAGTCAACGAAACCAAACCATCTTACCAAATATTATACCTAGGTCTAATACAGTACATTAATTACGTGTCACAATAACAAAATGGGAAGTAGACATTGTCATTACACTACTCTTCCCTACCAGCCTATCAAGGACCTCGATCTCGAAACACAAGAGCTACGAGGAGGACTCACTGGTTGAGGCAGGTCTGCGTCGCCTCGACCTGAGGGTTGTTGTTGGGGCAGAGTCTAAACTCAAAGTGGCCGCGATGGTTGGCGGTGACGTGTACCCGGATGGGAATCACCTGCCCTTCTTCATACCTCCTGACGATGGTACCCGTGGCGTACCTGCCACCTGCCTCGTGCGGGCGCGGGTTCGCCCCCCAGGCGTCGCCGCAGATGCCACACCTCCCGCCCTGGACCTGGTGCTGGTGCTGCAGAAGAAATGAAGGAGGGAAGATCGCAGATAAGACAAAAAAGGAGAAAAAAGTGCTTGCCTTCATAATTCCAATAAAAGTACCTTCAACAAAAGTAATTCCATGAGAGGGTAATTCCAAGGCACAGTATTTCTGATACAGAGAAGCACCAAGATGAACTAATCTATATTATTATAATTATATGTATAAAATAGAATATCTGTATGTCTGAGGTTGGAAGCCAGACCCCTTAAGGTTAGCTTCACCCAATTTGTAAAACTAATTGGTGTTGGGTGCATGCACAACATGGTCGGGTCAGGATTGCTGTAAATTGCAACGAGTATCTCTTGACATAGTGACCTTGCTATCTTCCTCCCCCTCAGACTGATTTTGCAGGAGAGGGATGTAAGGCTATTGTGTGCGGGCAGCCATACCAACGATCTACACAGAGAGAGAGAGAGAGAGAGAGAGAGAGAGAGAGAGAGAGAGAGAGAGAGAGAGAGAGAGAGAGAGAGAGAGAGAGAGAGAGAGAGAGAGAGAGAGAGAGAGAGAGAGAGAGGTGGAACATGAGAGAGAGGGAGAGACATGTGTTCATGATAACCCTAACACGGGTTCAGTAGTAGTGGGGATCACCACCACCCCAAGCTCCTGCCAGCACAGTCAATACTCAAATTATATATTGATTTGGTTTCGTGTGTGCATATATAATTAATTATATGAATTTCATTATTTAAATCACCCTGAAATTGTGAAACTGGGCAAGTCTGATAATTATTATTATGAGAGAGAGAGAGAGAGACATCGGGTATATCACCAAGTTATATAATAGAAGCCTAACCTTGGTGTTGTCCGGACGTAACAAGATTATGAAACAGTTCCTCCCTCTCTCTCTCTCTAATGATACATGACACACGTATGTTTACACGTGACACGGACACGTTCACACATGACACAGACAAGACACGGACACAGAACTCACAGTCAGGCCGCCACAGAAGCCTTCGTTGTCGTTGTAGTCAATGGGCGTCTGCCACCCGAACCTCCACGCCGAGGCCCTGGAGGGCGGCTCCACCAGACGGGCGTGGCCCCTGCACGCCCCCACGCCCTGCAACCCCCACGGGCGGGGCAGTGAGGAACGGAATGAGTGGGGGTGTGAAGGGCGGAATGAGTGGGGGTGTTAGGGGCGGAATGAGTGGGCAGCCTCATAAGAAAAAATGTGGAGAGGCGCTGCTAAAGTGGTGATAGGTGAGGAATGAAATAAATGGACGTGAGTGTAGATTCAGAAATGGGAGATGGGTGGTGAATGAGGGCGGGGGAGAGGGGGAGAAGTTGATACGAGAGTGAGAGGGATGAACAAGATTGGGTAAGGGTCATAACCCCCCCCCCCCCCCCCGTCTCCCACCAGGAGGAATAGAATGAAGGTGAATCCAACATGAGTAAAACCCAGACTCACCACCACAAACAGTAACATGTATGTGAATATTAGCCAGACTCATCACCCTCACCACCACATATGGGACATAAAGGGGGTGAACCCCGAGATGAGTAACACCGTGAGACTCACCACACTCATCACCATCACCCATCGCAGCCACGACCTCGGACCCATCACCGGACCTACGAGATAATACGAAGAGAAATATTATAAAAACAAATAACGACAGAAATCAATACAGATGCGTGTTGTGTGTGTGTGTGTGTGTACTCACCTAGTTGTGCTTGCGGGTGTTGAGCTCTGGCTTTTTGGTCCCGCCTCTCAACTGTCAATCAACTGATATACAGGTTCCTAGTTGAGCCTATTGGGCTCTATCATATCTACACTTGAAACTGTACACACTGCGTGTGTCTGTGCATCACAGCTGACCCCTTCACAGGTCAACCCCCTACACCCCCACCCCCCAGCTGACCAACGCAGCACCCAGTGCCACATATAGTGCCTCATACAGTGCCACACAGTGAATCATATTACCATACAGTGCCTCATACAGTGCCGCATACCTCGCCAGGATCCAGAACACTCAGCCTATGCCACCAGAGGGGGAGAATGGGCAGCAGTAATTCGTGAAAGGTGCTGGCACTCACCCTCACTAGCCAGGAGTGATCACCCTCTGAAGTGCCAGAGCCACGTACCCTCTTTTTTATCTCCCAGTGTTTCAGGTCGAGTCCGCGTGCACCGAGTTCCTCGCCGCCCTAAGTAGGTCAGCATCGACTTCTCCAGTTTTGTGATTGATAATCTTCTCGCGTTAACTCAGCCACTTGGGCTGGACAGTAGAGTGACGGTCTCGCTTCATGCAGGTTGGCGTTCAATCCCTGGCTGTCCACAAGTGGTTGGCACCATTCCTTCCCTTCCATCCCATCTCAAAGCCTTATTCTGACCCCTTCCAAGTGCTATATAGTCGTAATGGCTTGGCGCTTTAACCGATAATTCCCCCTCTTCTCCCAGTACGTTTCACGAGGTTGCCAGAGGGAAGATGCCAACAACGACACACTGGAGGACGAGGTCAACGCTTAAACAAAAGCTAGATGTACGATGATTTATGAAGGCTAGAGGTTTCGCTGCTCTACACTTGAAGTGGGGTAGGCTAGTGTGTGTGTGTGTGTGTGTGTGTGTGTGTGTGTGTGTGTGTGTGTGTGTGTGTGTGTGTGTGTGTGTGTGTGTGTGTGCATGTGGAGCTGGAGGGAGACGACGTCCGAGTGGTCGTTGAAGCACTGATAAGTAAAACCAATGACAGAGAGAACAAGGTCACCCAGAGAGGAAAAGAAGGTCAGCCGCGCGAACCAGGTCACTACCCTAGCACAATTACAGGATGGCTCGGTACATTGTGCGCACACACTCCCACACGCGCGCGTGAGCGTGTGTGTTGGAGGAGGTACAAGGACACTAGCAGAGCTTGGAGGAAGCACAGAGAGAGCTGGACAGATGAGAACTGCAACTGAGATAACAAGGAGAGAAACAGAGAAGCAACGCGAGAATGACGGCATTCAGACCTGGTCTAACCCAAGCAGCCACACAAACATATCAGGGAATTATTAGTACAACAAAGTAACTAAACAAAGAGGAGACGAGACGAGAGTAGAGGAGGGAGTCAAAACAAAAGAAAAATCACAAGGAATATGTGAACTACTGAACCACGACGTCCAGGAAGTGTTCAGACTGGACTCATTACACCTGCCAGAGGTAGAGAGGACGCCCTTGATTGAGACACTCAAGACCACTCAAGGTACAGCAGATGAGGCGAGGAAACAGCTTCGAGATTATGATGCGCTGACAGCTGCAGGATTGGACAATGTCACCTCCTGGTTGTTAAAGAATGCCGCTGAAATTCCGTGTAAACCTCTCATTAATATGCATTGTTTTATTTGGGAGAGAACTACCAGACAGCTGGAAGACTGTTAATCATTGTGTGTGTGTGTGTGTGTGTGTGTGTGTGTGTGTGTGTGTGTGTGACGGGGGATAGACAGAAGGCGCTAAAAAAGAGACCTGTATTGTTGACATATATACCCTGAAAGTCCAAGAGAAATTAATGCAGTGGACATGGCTGCTTGACTTTATTCAAACAAATGCAAGGTGATGAGATGTGTGTGACAGGGAGTCAGAAAAAAAATATGTAAAAGCAGACGAAACCTCATGCCTTTCACGGAAGGCATGCAGGTGACCATTCAAATGGTAAACCTGCAGAATACCTTAAGTATACCTCGAGTGAATTCTGGGTGTTGTTCTACTCCCCAAGCCCGGCCTGAGGCCAGGCTTGACTTTGTGATAACTTGATCCAACAGGCCGTTGCTCAGAGCGGCCCGCGGGCCCACCAATCCACCACAACCCAGTTGTTCAACGTGTCAACGTGCCTAGTGTTCACGTTCACTTCTGTTCCAACAAATCTCCAGGCACCTGGACAAGGTTACCTCGGGGACAATAAACACTACATATTTTATCTCAGAAATAGAATATGAAGCTCCAGCGTGGAATCTCCACCCGAAAAACCACTAAGCAAAACTATAGAAAGTACAGAGATCCGCTACAAGACTGGTCCTTGAACTAAGAGGATTGAGCTGTGAGGACAGGCTGGTGGAATTACACTTCACCACGCTGGAAGAGTAGAAGGGAGAGAGGTGACATGATAACAATATATAAGATACTTATCAAGGCATTCTTATTATAAGACGAGAGGGTAAGTGGAATTGACTAGATGAGGCTAGCAACATACATAGTTCATATATATGTGTACACACACATTGTGCGTGGCGTTGTTCATTATTCATCATTGTTCATCGTGATGTGTGACACACACACGCACTCACTCACTCTCTTCTACTCCACCACAACTAAAAAAAATATAGAATCTATTAACGTGCAACAAGAAGTTTCAATTGCTAGCGTTCAACAGGGAAACGACCTCAGCGTCCGCCCAAGACAACGAAAATACCTCAGGGTTTCTCGTTATAATTTCGACAGCATATAATACTGGAACCAATATCCCGAACTCATCAAGGGACAGTACGCTGCTGCGTCATCCACACCTCATTACAGCAGCCTATCTCTCCCTCTCATATATATCATATATTATATATATATATATATATATATATATATATATATATATATATATATATATATATATGTTTAATGCAAGAGGCTACAACAAAACTCAAAAGAATATAACGTCATATGTGACGTCACACCTTCATACACACTATATACACCGCAAAATCGTATCTCTTATTTTCGTTAGGTCAGGCGAGATTAAGTTAAAAGTTAAGTTTAAGTTAGATTAGGTTAGGCTACCTAACCTAATGATAATTACCCATTAATCGAATTTTCGTAATTACTTTTAAACAAATTTGGGGTAAAAGGGGCAAACGGGGTATAGGGGAAGAGGGGGAGTGGGGAAGGGGAAAATCGAAGGGGAGGGGAAAAAGAGCGAAGCATAGGGGATAGTAGGGGGGAAGGAAACAAGGGGAAGGAGGGGGAGATAGGGGAAATGGGGGCGAAGGGGAAAGGAAAGGGGCAGAGTACAGAGTACAGTACAGAGTGTAAAGCGGAAAGGGTGATTGGGAGAGAGGGGAAGAGAGAGAGAGAGAGAGAGAGAGAGAGAGAGAGAGAGAGAGAGAGAGAGAGAGAGAGAGAGAGAGAGAGAGAGAGAGAGAGAGAGAGAGAGAGGCTGAAGGGTGGAATGAGATGAGAAATGGAGAGTAGCGGAGAGGGGGAGAAAAAGTAAGGGAGAGCAAAGGGGAGAGAAAGTAAGGAAGAGTAGCGGAGAGAAAGTAAGGGAGAGTGTTGGAGGAGGGTAGAAGGAAGAAGTGGTATAAGAGTTGATGAAGGGAAGAAAGACCCGGGCACCGCCGGATACCCCATCCAGTTATACACATCACTAACCAAACCCAAGCTAATCCAGACGTTTCGAAAAAAATCGCAGTTCTCCGCTAATTCAACCCAGCCACTAATACCTTTCTCTTTCTTGTGTATTGTCATTATAGACGACACCCTCAAGATGCTATATGAACCTTGCATCATAGATACCATTAGTCTTCCAGAACATCAACAAAATTCACGACATTTGTCCAGCTTTCGCCGTTCAAATGACGGTGCCGCCTCCTGTACGACAACGGGTGACAGCTGGCAGCGGCGAGCGTAATTCACGTATCCGTGCCAGCCGTACGAGAGAAACTATAAAAATTATACAGAGAGAAAAAGAAAGCATGCAGCCCAAGACTTTCCCTTCTCGTGCTCCTATGACGGGAAAATACAAGGAGGGAAATTTGAGAGTAGGCGCTGATTGCTCCCCCAGTTGTGGTCCAAATTAACACTAAATTTACAAATGGAGGCTGCTGAACGCCATTATAAACAGACAGCATTGTAAAAACATAAATTACGGAAAGATCGTTAATGGAGGTGAAAGTTATGTACATATGGCCTATTTTGTTATCATTATAAGCATTATATACATTTTCTTCTGTCCTCTATGGACAGGGTGAGAGATTTGTCAAACATACAGTTCAGAGATTTATTGAACAATGAACCACAGAAGGTGATCGTAGTGCTTTTAAAATGTTAGGCTCAGCTACATACGTAAATACAAAGATATACAGATTTATAAATACATTAATGTGAATTTACAATGGTGAAATGTAATTCTGATCAGCTTCCACATATACTTTATACACACACACACACACACACACACACACACACACACACACACACACACACACACACACACACACACACACACACACACATACACACACATACATACACATATATTTGTCTCTTTTACTCTGACAGGGTGAGATAGTTGACAGAGAAACGAGTGTGCAGTTAAGAACTTAACCACTGAAGGTGATTAAGATGCTTTTACAAGCTCAGGTTATATAGTTACATTACATGGTTAATCTAGGGTACAAGTCCAATATATCATCAAGTGTTCCAGTACTCCTATAGTAGTTACAGAGTTCAGCATACATCAGCCCAGGAGGGCGAAAGTCAGTCAATATGGGACATTCTACCATATAATGTTCGAGTGCATCTTTTCTCTTTCACAAAGTTGACACATTGTGTACTCGACATTTGGTTTACTATGCAAGAGGACGAGTGTACCTATCAGTAAAGAGAGAACCCA